CCCCCCGACAATAATTCTGCTTTTCTTGTTGCTGACTCATGGGCTGGCGGACAGCGCGTTATGAAAAGAAATAAAAATCCTGCCTTTGAGAATTGCAAGCGTCTCTTTTTTTGTGGCTTTTGGACTTCAAAAAGGGACCCAAATCTGATTCACAGATGTTCCCTTCTGGGGGTGTTTTGTGGGTCAGCAAGGTTGCACAAATGCAGTTTGGAGGAGTCGAGCTTTTGAAGTTGTGGCTTTGTGGTGAGGTGTGTCTTTGTTTTGGTTTTCTCATGGCCTCTTGAGCTGCTGCGCCCTGAAAATCACCCGCATGAATTGGGTTGTGTGAAAGAAGCGTGTCAACCTGTGTACCCAATTTCCTATTGAGAAGATAGACAGACAGACAGACAGACAGACAGACAGACATGAGAGAGAGAGAGAGATTAAAGGGTCCTTGTAGGTCATCTAGTCCAACCCCCCTCCCCGCCCAAGCGGGAGACCCTATATCACTTCTGATAGATGGCAGTCCGTTCTCTTCTTGAAAGCCTCCAGGGATGAAGCTCCCACCACTTCTGGAGGTGTGGACCAGCCCTCCCTCTAATCTAACCGTGTCCTCATGTAGGGGCCGATGCATGTCACCGGCTGAGACGCCGCCGGAATAAGCCACATCCCGGTGATTCATAAGCTACCCAGCCGCGTGGGGTGGCCATTCTGGCCTCCTCTCCTTCCTTCCTCTCTCTCTCTCTCTCTCTCTCCACCTTCCTGGGGACTGTTCCTTCCCCACATGCAACCCCGGTAGGCTGGCTTGCGAAAGAGGAAATTGTGAAGGTTGTTCGTTGTCACACGCAAAAAAAGTGGAAAGGCGAGTTTGGGACGTCTCGCCCGGCAGAATCCCCGACGCCGTTTCTCTCCGCTTCTGAGGATGCCCGTCTGCCTGATCGAGTAGGACTTTCCTTCCCCCACCCCACCCACCCCTTTTGTGGATTGGAAAGGGAGTCCTCGATTTACGGCCATGATGGAGACTGCCCCTTAGGGTCGCAATACGGGTCACCCACACGGCTGACTCGATTTTATCCACCTGTTGTTGTTTTTGTGGCAGCTGTTAAGCGAAGGCTGCAGCCATAGAGCGACTGCCCTGCTTGTAAAAAGGGAGCACCGCGGTTGTAAAACGAATCCATTGTCTACCCTGGCCTAATGTATGCCGGAAACAGGAAGAAAATGCTGTTTTTCAACAAACAGTGGCTAAATATGGACCAGTTGCCCAACGTGTGGGAGGCGATCGTAGGAACTCCTGGGAAGGTAGCTTCAAACAGTGACTCAGCAATTGGTCGTAAGTCGAGGACTATGTATTCGGATTTTCGATAAGGGGGAAAGTGGGTTGGGGGGCAACCAGGTTGGGGGCTCCCCAAAAACGGCCTCTGAACAGGAATGTGTCCTAAAAGGTTTTGTTTGCTTTCAGCATCTCTGTTGGGAGCCGAGAGCAGAAGAACAGGGACTCGTCAACAAGGAAATCCATCCATCAAAATTGAGGTGGTTGGAAGGAATGTCCACCTGGGTTCAGTTCCAAGCAGGGAGAAAGACTCCAGAAACATGAAGGCTGATTGGAAAGATGGTTTATTGATGGACAGGACCACATGGGGTTTGAGGTCCTGGTGCAGCTGACCACAGGGGTCTGAGAGTGAGGGGGGGTTTTTTTTAGACCCTCTCTTGGGCTTTGAACTTGAGCTTCCTGTTCCTGGGGCAACAGCATTTATTCTATTGGTTGTTGTAGGGGTCGTAGCTAACTTTGTAAGTTATCTGAGTTAAGTTTGGTTGAAGCTTGGATGATGTAACAAGGAGGCTTGTGTCCCAAAAGGGTGTTGGGCCATTCCTGTTGTGCCTTAATGGCTTTCCTGGTTTGGATCTTGAGTGAGGGCTGATCCCACCCGTCTGCCTTTGTTCAAAAGATCCCATCTTGAATGGATTACACAAATCTGCATTTCCAAAAGGTGGCCTCAGCTTAGTGTCACTGCTTGGGAGGGGAGGGAAATTGTGGCTCTGGGCTTCTGTCCCCCTTTAAGAGTTCTCTTATTTCTCTTTTAGGGCAAATATAATATTCTGCCTCCTTAATACTTTCTCAGAAGTGTTTCATTTTTCTAGGAGAGGGGTGGCTGCTAAAACTTCCTACAATATTCACAATCCAAAATAAAAGGCATTTCCCCCCCCCCCCTTTTCTGACTTCCTTCTTTTTCCTCGCTTTCTCTCGGCTTTTAAAACAAAATTCACTCAATTCTATTTATTCCATGGAAATCGGCAGTTGTTGCCATCGTGACGGCGGGAGACAGGAGCTGCCGCAGTGGGAAGTGCGAGGAACGGCCGGGAGCCCCTTCTCTCCGTGACTTCGCACACAGTCATTAAACGCACAGTCGTAAGCCGAGGACTATCGCTTGTTCAGCTCTTCTAGGTGTTTTTTTCCCCCCTTTCCTTCTCTCTCTAGGATCATGCGCCCCGATGACGCGAACATTGCCGGCAATGTGCACGGAGGGACCATATTAAAAATGATCGAAGAGGCCGGAGCCATCATCAGCACCCGCCATTGCAACTCACAATCCGGGGTACGTGCTCTCCATTCGCACAACCACTCCCGCAATCCCAGGGTCACAAATATTGGGTCTCCGAGGCCACAAGGGGGGGGACTGTCCACGAAGCAGCCGCCAATAAAGCAGAAGGGACTACAGAACAGGGGTCTCCAACCGTGGCAATTTTACAGCTTGTGGACTTCAACTCCCAGAATTCCTCAGGCAGCATGCGTGAAAACCACAACTCCCAGAATCCCACAAGCGGCCTGGCAGTCGAGGAGAATTCTGGGAGTTGAAGTCCACACAGATCGTAAAGTTGCCAAGGTTGGAGACCCTTTTTGCAAAGCGTGGCTATTTCAAGGGGTGGGGGGGGCATGGACCACAGCTCCCTCGACAGCCAGGCCCTTTGTGGGATTCTGGGAGTTGTAGTTCACATGGTCTGGGAAGGGCCACCTTCGGAAAGACAGCTGTAGAGGAATTTAACTCAGGCAGGATGAGGAAGAGAGAGAGAGGTTGGTCAGCCCTGAGAAAGTAGACCGGGTGAGAAACGTCCTGTTTTTATTTTTGATATCCTAAACATTTCAAATTTAATTCCATTTCGATTTCAGTTTTAATTTCCATTTTAATATCAATTCAGTTTTATTTCCAGCTGAAAGGTCAGGAATAAATAAAATAAACAATTGCCCAGCAGGTGGCACTGTAGGATAATTGGAAGAGAGAATGAATGAATATACAGTATATATGTGTGTGTGTGTGTCTTTGTGTGTATATACACACACACACACACACACACATTATCTATCTATCTATCTATCTATCTCTCCACAGCTGTGTTTCCTTTTAAAACAGCTGGATGGGTGGAGGACTATCTACCTGCAGGAGGGTTTGGGTGTCTCCCCCCCCCCCCCCTCCTGCTGATGGGATATTTGTCTTCCACCCCCCCTCCCCCTCCTCTCCCCCCAGGAGCCCTGCGTGGCTGCCCTGGCTCGTGTGGAGCGCACGGACTTCCTTTCCCCCATGTGCATTGGTGAAGTGGCCCACGTCAGCGCCGAGATCACTTACACCTCCAAGCACTCCGTGGAGGTCCAGGTGCAGGTGGAAGCCGAAAACATCCTCACAGGTAAGTCCCGGCGGTTCTTGGCAGACGGGACCAGGTCCGTCTTCTCTTGTATTGTAAATGAGATTTTATCTGCTGAATACAACTCCGTATAGGCGATGGGAAGGGCATCTGGCCACTAAACCCTCAGCTCCATTCAGTTGGATACTGAGCTTTCTTGCATGCCAGGTTCCTGCTTGCTTTTTTAAAAATAGCATTATTATTATTGTTGTTGTTGTTGTTATTAAAATAAAAATAGCCAATCAGCCAAGGATCTTCTGGGACCCCAGAAAGGCATTGTTGGGGGTCCCCTTCTCGAGAAAAAAAATAAAAATCCTTGAGCCTTTTTTTAAGACTCCCTGCTTCACAGTTGCCCCATTTTTCCTCCGTCGCCGATTCTGCCTGAAAGGGCGGGCATTTCCCCCTATACAGATGTAGTCCTCAACTTACAACGATTCGTTTAGTGTCCGTTCAAAACTCCCTCCACCAATGTCTCCCTTAGCGGCACTCCATATTGTTGTCGGCCTGTGAAACGGTGGGTGGTTTAACGATCGAAAAACACGACACCTTGCAGTAGAGCCTTCCCAAATTCAGACTTGGTACGACCCTCCACAGATGTCCTGCGCCCTCAAGATGATGGGCTACGTAGTCCTTCCTTTCCCCCTCTTGAATCCCACCCCTCCCCATAAACGCCTGGCCTTCCACCCAGCATCTGCCACTGCCAAGAGAAACACGGCGTGTGACTTTCGTGTTGCAAAAACAACCAGATGTTTCACGCTGAGCTGGAATTTGCAGGATTGTCCTTCCCTTTGAAAGGGGACTCGAACCCAGCCTCCGCCGTTCTTTTCGAGGGGGGCTGCGGAGGAGCTGGGAGGGTCGGGTCAACTCAGTGGTGTCTTTTGCTTTCTTCTCACCCTCCCTCTCCTAGAGTGCCCTTCCTCTTTCTGTTCCTTTTCTTTCTTTCTTTTTTGGAAAAGTTTTATTCAATTTTCACATATGACAGAAGGAAAAAAAAACCTTTTTTCAGCGAATAGCATGATTCCAGGTTAACACATTTCCATTACAGACTTGACTTTCATTTCCTGCTCACCTTTCACATTTAATAACTTACCTGGATCTTACTTTATACAGTTTATTTTCTTTAATTTTAATCATCGAGCTTTTTCCACCTTATTTTATAAATTTTCCAAAGTTGCTTAATCTATTTCTTTAAATCCTTAGTGCACCATTACATATCTTCATATCCATTGTATTTTATATTCTTTTCTGTCAGGCCTGCAATTTACTCATCTATACTTAATTCATTGTTCCAAAAAAATTCACATATTTCCAACATAGAAAAAACAACAACCAAACAACACCCCTATTATTGCCAATTTCTAGATGCCACCCCTGTTGTTAACATATCACATCCCCTGTTTCTTGAGGCTGCTTTGAAAATATGATCTGTATTTTGCTAGCTGGAGAAACGTGATTGCATCCCTTCCAAATGTCCTTTTGGGGTGGGTGGGGGAAGAACAACACGGATGGAAACTTAACTGTGTAGCTTTGATGTCCATTTCTTAAAACAGAGCCAAAGAACCAGGTGTCTCATGACTGTCCCTGGCCCAATTCCTCGCGATCTGCCCATTCACAGCCCCTTCCTTTCTCCTTAGGTGCAAAGACAGTGACCAACAGGGCCACTTTGTGGTACGTCCCTCTTTCTCTCCACAACGTGAACAAGGTTTTGGAAGTGCCTCCAATCCAGGTGAGTCTTGAAGGAAGAAAACAGGTGATACTCATTTATATCTGGGGAAAAAAATGAACCTGATTCTTTTGTTTAGTTCTTTGGATCCCTGTTGGCAGTTTTTTCCAAATTCAGTTGTTGACTATCCGTTCGTCTCTAATTCGTTGTGTTTCCAGCACAGGGCACAACATGGAATCCATTAAAAACCACAATATGACTTCAGCCACTTCCTCGACTTAACAACCGTTCGTTTAGTGACCATTCCAAGTGGAAAAAAAGACTTGTGTCCATTTTTCACACTTATGACCGCTGTAGCATCCTCTTGGTCACGTGATCAAAATCCAGATGTTTGGCAACTGGCATGTACTTATGACAGTTGCAGTGTCCCGGGGTCACGTGATCCACAAGCAAAGTCAAGGGGAAGTAGGATTCACTTAACAAACCAAGTTACTTAGTTAACAACTGCGGTGATTCACTTAACGACGGGAAGAAAGGTCGCAGAGTGGAGCAAAATTCATGTAACAACTGTCTCACTTGACTTTCCTGCTAGTTTGCGCAGAAGGACCAGGAGGAAGAAGGGAGACGACGTTACGAGGAACAGAAGCTGGCACGTCAGGAGACCAAAGAGAGGAACGGCGATGTCATTGTGCCCGTGATCAATCCAGGTACGGCGATCACCTGTCTGGCATATATGGAGAGACCTGCCTGCACATTTATTTCTTGCATTTCCAGCATGCGTGTTTTTTGTTTGGGTGGGGGTAATCTCCCATTGTGCAACACATTGGTGAGTTGAGTTGAGTTGACTTAAGTAGTGAAGGCTGTGATTTGAGTTGGGTTGGGTTGAGTTGGATCGGATTGAGTTGAGTTGATTGACTAGCTTGGGTTTTGGGTTGGTGATTGGGTTGGGTTGGGTTGAGTTGTTGAGTTGGGTTGATTTAGTAGCTTGGGTTGTGATTGGGTTGGGTTGAGTTGAGTTGGGTTTTGTTGAATTGAGTTGAGTTGAGTTGATTTAGTAGCTTGGGCTGTGATTGGGTTGAGTTGGGTTTACTTGGATTTAGTTGATTTACTAGCTTGGGTTGAGTTGGGTTGGGTTGAGTTAAGTTGGGTTGATTTAGTAGCTTCAGTTGTGATTGGGTTGAGTTGAGTTGGATTGGGTTGGGTTCATTAACACAGTTGATATAGAATCACCACAGTTGTTAAAGTCAGAACAGGGTTATTAAGTGAATCTGGCTTCCCCATTGGCTTTGCTTGTCAGAAGGTCACAAAAGGGGATGACAACCATCATAAATATAAGTCAGTTGCCAAGCATCTGCATTTTGGTCATGTGACCCTGGAGATGCTGCAATAGGCATCAGTTTGAGAAAACTTTTTCAGTGCCAGTGGAATTTCCAACAGACACTAAACAAATGGACATGAGTCAAGGACCACCTGCCTGTCCCTTTAAAAAAAATGAAATTTAAAATCATTATCCCATTCCTTGGATTGCTTTGCTCCCTTGCCTGGTGCCTAGACAAGCACAGAAATAATAACTGAGTTGGAAGGGACCTTGGAGGTCCTCTAGTCCAACCCGCTGCTCTAGATGGCTGCCGGAAAACGGGGCTCCCCTACCTGCTCTGGCTCTCCTCTTGTAGATGATTATTTCTGCATGATATTGCACCTGGCTTACCTGCCTCTCTCTCTTTCTTTTCACTGCTTTCCAGACAGACAAAGTAAAGGTAAGGTTGTTCGAGATGAATTAACTGAGTTAAACCAAAGGTCTGCGAATGCTGGCTTGTAAGAGCTGACATTTCTGCCTCTTGCTTAATACCAGGGGAACTGCTTAATTGGCTTGACATTCTGACTCACTTGCTTTAATTCTTCTTAAATATCGTAATAATAGGAGTGGACTTTTTTCCTTTGGGGATTTTTCCTTTGGGGAAAATGTCAATATATTTTCTTTATTGATCAAGTCATCCTTGTTAACATTTGAAAAGAGTATAAACAACAGGGGAACAGTGATCAACTTTCAGTAATCTTGGTCTGGAGGACTTTGTTATTACTTCACACCTAGTTGTAGTCCTTGAGTCCTGTGGATCTGTGCTGCTAGAAACCAGATCCTGGATCTAGTTGGGAAGGCAATGACTTTGGTGGGCCCCGTGACTGATGGGTTTGAAGCAACTAAATCAGGGAGGCCAGATGCAGAAGTTGGTATGGACACCACCTCGGTCCTCAAGTGTCCCTGAGCAGGAGGTTGACCTTCCCTTGTCAACGGGGGTGGAAAGTGGGTTGAGGGCCACTTTCGATGGGTGTCCATCCTTCGATGAATTGAGCCCAGCCTTGTTCTCCTTCCGTTCTCCTCCTCCGAGGAACCTCTTGTAGACTCCACAAAGGGTAGGATTGGGTCCTTGGCTTCCGTCCTCACTTGTCCTTCCACTGCTTATTTCTCTTCCCAGAGCCCTACACCGTTGGATACAGCCAGTCAAGTCTCATCCATTTGGTGGGACCATCTGATTGCACCATGCATGGATTTGTTCATGGAGGTAAGTCCTAGCAGAACCTTAACTGGTTGGCTTCCTCTGGAGTGCCCTACCCTCCACCCTTACCCAAGGCCCAAATAACTCTTCCCCACCTGGTGTTACGTCTTCAACATCTAGATGTCCACCTTCAAAACATTTATCATCATCTTAGACGCTTCTTGGGGACTTCTTCAGTCTTGAAGGGCGGACCTCCTGGACAAGCAAACCTTCCACATTGTGCAGATCATAAACACCCCGGAATTTATAATACTACGTCCACTATCGCCCCCGGCAATGGAGGTAGCATCCATCCCTACCATGGTTTGCTTTCCATTTTTACAAGTGTGTGGAAGTCACAAGATTCGGGATAGAGGTGTGGAAACGCAAAGCTGTTAGCTCCACCAGATGAGAATCTTGCTCTAAATTCCAGCCTGGCCTTCGCTCCTCAATGAGGAAAAACCCAGAAACCGATTCAGACAGGCTCCGTTTCCTTTAAAGTCTCTCCCTAACCTGTCTATAGGTGTGACTCAGAATCATAGGGTTGGAAGGGGGACCTCGGAGGTCTTCTAGTCCAACCCGCTGCTGAAGACCATATACCATCCTGGTCCGACGGTTGCTGTCAACTATCTTTTCTTGGAAACAAACAGATTGACTTGGTTAATCAACCAGCTGAGGTGGAGATCGCCCACCTACAACCATAGGCTGGAAGGGACCTTGGAGGTCATCTAATCCAATCCCCTAATCAAAGTGGGGGTAAACTGAGGACAAGCCCTTTGAGGGGGGGGGGGGGGGGGGGGGGAATTACTTTCCAGAGGCTGGATGAGCCTCAGACGTGGGAGTGGTTGCTATAGGAACTTTACACGGTGGAGAAAGCTGGGGGAATTTAGACCCCTGCAATTAAAATCATTCTTGAGGGAGGTCGGAGGTGGGGGGGGGTTTCAAAGGGGGAGGGGGGCATTTTGAACTGAAGAGCCAGTCGGGGAAGTTTAATAGATTTCTCTTTTTTCTTTTTTTTTCCTCCTTACCGCAAAGAGTGGAGACAGAAATATATTTATATTCATTCAGTGGATATAAGCCGCCCGTCCTGCGATCAGGGCCAGTTTAGCCTAATGAGGAAGGTGCCGGGTTAGAAAGTGGGAGGCAACGAGTTCCAGTCCATCTTAGGCATGAAAGCCAGCTGGGTGACTTTGGGACAGTCTCTCTCTTTTTTTTCTCTTTCTCTCTTTCTTTTCTCTCTCTCTCTTTCTCTCTCTCTTTCTTTTCTCTCTCTGTCTCTCTCTCTCTTTCTCTCTCTCTCTTTTCTCTCTCTTTGTCTCTGTCTCTGTCTCTTTTTCTCTCTCTCTTTTCTCTCTCTCTTTCTCTTTCTGTCTCTCTCTTTCTCGCTCTCTGTCTCTCTCTTTCTCTCGCCTTCTGTCTCCCTGAATTGACCCTACCCCAACGCTCGCACAGGCCTCCCGGTTGAAATCTCTGCTTCGCTTGCTTTCTCTGTCCCACCCACCCTCCACCCACCTGACACTTGACCCCACCCTGGTTGTCATTAATAAACGTCATTTAACCCACATTTATCTCTCCGGTCCCTCAGGACACCCGGCTTCCAGCTTCCTTGTCCAAAGATCCACGTAGAAGACGTGGAATTAATTCTGAATTTTTCAAGGCAGGAACGGGGTTAGCGTGACCCGCTGTGGAGCACAGCAGCCACAAACACACCCACACACATCCCACTTGTTGTGTTAGGAAGACATCAGGGTGTGTGTGTGGGGGGGGGTTGGTTTTGTTATCGTTGTTGTCGTTCTTTGTTTAGATCCTGCTCTTTTATTAAGATGAGGCCCCAGGGAAGACAACAGCCTTGCCGGCTAGTTGAGAGAAAGAGAGAGAGAGAGAGAGAGAGAGAGAGAAAGCTGTGCTATTTTTAGCCAGCGTTTGGCTTCTTATTAGTCAGAGTAGCCTCGCTGGGAGCTGGGTAGAGGGGATTAGCTCTGCAAGCAAGGAGGTTTAATTAATTGTCTTTTGCAGGGCCTCCAGCTCTACGGCAAGCTTGCAATATTTTTTTTTTCCTCCCCTCCACCTCCCTCAAAGCTTGGGTTGTAGGAACCACACACACACACACACACACACACACACACACACACACACACACAGGTTGGGAGTATTTTTGCAACCCCGTTTCAGAAAACCGAGGTGGGCTTGACTCCGTTTCCTTGCCAGAAGGCTCCGTCCATCCTCCGTCCTCTGTCTGGACTGACGGACAGGGAAATGCAAGCATTCATGGCTTGAGAGCTCTACTGATTCACATTGTGCCTCCGTCAGGTTTAGACGTAACTCGAGGCAGCAAGCATGCCTAACACTCCTTCCTCCCCCTCCTGTTTTCCCCACAACAACCCTGTGAGGTGGATTGGGCCGGGAGAGAGAGAGGGGGGGGGGATATTGGCCCAAAGTCACCCAGACAGCTTTCGTGCCTAAAAGCAGGACTAGAACTCCCCGTCTCCTAATAATTGGCAAGAAGGAGTGGAAGCGGTTCGTAGAAGGGCCGTGAGAATGACCAGGGACCAGGAAACCTATCCCTGCAAGGAGAGGTGGAAAGGAACAGGGTGGACACACCTACCCCTGAAGGACTTCCTTGAGGCCACCTAGAGGATTCCCTCGCCACCTCCACTCTCATGGAAAGCACAGAGCCGGGCTTCTAGGGGACTCTCGGCCAATGGTCAGGGAGACGTTGAGCCCCTCCAACTGGCCTCCAGAATTGGTGGGCGCTCCCTCACTGGAGGTCTTCAAGAAGAGACTGGACAACCATTTGTCCTGAAGGGAATAGGATCTCCTGCTTGAGCAGCCGGGGTTGGACTAGAAGACCTCCAAGGTCCCTTCCGTAAACGGACTCCTTCCCGGTTGGAGCCTGCTGGCCCAGCGACCTCTTCCGCCAGCCGCTGCCTCCGTGAATCCCACCTCTTGTCCTTCCTTCCAGGGGTGACCATGAAACTCATGGACGAGGTAGCTGGAATCGTGGCTGCTCGCCACTGCAAAACCAACATCGTCACGGCTTCTGTGGACGCCATCAACTTTCACGAGAAGATCAAAAAGGGTAAGCGGAGGGCCCAGACCCTTGCGGTCAGCAAGACCTTTCCCATGGCTTAGGACAAGGCGTCCTTGATTTACAACCGTTCGTTTACTGACCGAAGTTACATGTCAGGGTTCCCGGCATTAACTCATGAGCCTTGAGCCAAGCTTCAAAAGAATCCTAAAGATTTATGAGGAGCAACATGTCGGGCATGATCCCAGTTGAAGCCAACTCTGTGACCCTGTTTCCCCCCTCCCCCCTGGGTGTGTCATCAATCACATTCTCCAAGGAAGGATTTTGGGGGAGCAGAAGATCCGGTAGCCTCTTTGTAAGATAAGCGTGGAATGTTGTGATGACCCAGGGTGGGATACAAAAGCAACAAAGTCACAAAAACAGGTGAAGTCCCTTTAATTCCTTCAACTTGGCATCAAAGCTCCAATTATCACTGACTGGAGAAAAAAAAACTCCCCCACAAACAGTTGTGAAAAGGAAGAACTTCCGTTCCAACTCAAAATACATATAAATTATAAATAGAAAAAAACAACACAAACCACACTGAAGCAATTAAGGAGACCAGGCAGGGTAAGGGCTTGAAGACGTCCACAGATATCGAAATACACACACTGGGAAGGACGCCAGAACTCAGATAAGGACTGACAGACTAGAGATATTTTCACGCTTTGTTTCCAGCAACTTTGCCATGCACGGTTTGTCCTTTTAAACAGTCCTCACAGCTACAGCCCATGAAGGGGATCAAGGCCCTTTCCTCCCCCATAGACCGCTCCATTCAGGTTGCTCCCTTCTCTGCTCCTCCCTGCGTGCCCTAGGATGAAGAGGGGATGGGCCTGGGTCTTCCCCTGAATGCCCAGCTGGCCTGTGCCCTTCCCCAGTTTCCCCCACAACCTCCAGGGCCCCACTCCCACTCCCTGTCGGCTGTTCCTCCTCTCCCTCGGAGTCCGATTCTAACGGGTATGACAAATGTACACACCTTATGGCAACACACCTTATGGAAACTCGACATAGGAATGCTTTACGAGTTGACATTATGACAGCACCGAAAAAAGAGATTTGATTTTTTTCACACTTATGGCCATTGCAGCGTTCCTCACAATTACTTGATCAAAATTCAGACACTTGGCAACTGGTCCCTATTTATGACAGTCATACCTTCTGACCAGCAAAGTCCATTGGGGGGGGGGCAGGTTCACTTAACAACCGCGGGACTAATTTTATAACCTCAGCGATTCACTTAATGACTGTTGCAAGAAAGGTCATAAATTCACTTAAAAAATGTCTCGCTTAACATCTGGGGCTCAATTGTAGTCGTAAGTCAAGGACTGCCTGTAGCACATTCCATCCTTGTCTATGTCTGGTTAAGTCGAAGACGTTCCAGAGGGAACGTCCAAAAGTTGGGTGCAGTTGAACCACACGAGGTCAGGTGTTGTCTACAGCAGAAGTGGACGCAGAATGAACCAGTGGAATGGCTTCCTTCCAGAAGTTGGGGGTTGCCCCATCACTGGACGTGTTCAAGAAGAGACTGGGCAAGCCATTTGTCAGGAATGGTATAGGTTCTCCTGCTTCTGGAGGGGGTTGGACTAGATGACCTACAAGGTCCCTTCCGACTCTGTTACTCTCTTAAATCCCTTTGGATTTTCTCTGCAATCCTGGCCCACTGGGAGCTGTCCAGGGTGCTGATTCGCTTGGTCTCCAACTCCGATGCTTTGCTCAGCCTGGAAGACCATTTCAGGTGGGGCGTGTCCTTTGCCGGTGTTACGGGAGGTGCTCTCGTTGCTATGTTTGTTGAACACACGGCGGCACGTACAAGCGGGTCTCCGTACTCCGCGGAGGAACGTTTTATGTCCTGTTGCATGGCGCACAAGGCGCCCGATGGGGTGGTTTTGATGGTCGTGCCACGTGCTTCTTAGAAGCCCTCCGGGTTTCAAGCGGATCCACTGAGCGTCCTAAGGAGTTCCTGGATGAGAACGTGGGCCGCTGCTTGTTATCCTCAAGAGAACTGGGGGAGGGGGGGAGAATCTAATTTGATTTTTTTTAAAGAAGCCTCCCCTGATTATTTTTCTTAAGCCAATGTTGAGATTATCCTGGTCTATTATTTTGGTTTTTGTTTTCAAGCTGGCTGCTTTATTTAGCTAATTTGGGAGCAATCCTTGCCCTAAACGCTCTCGGCTGACTTTTATTCCCCTCCATCTACGGATAGTCCTTGCCTAACGTTTCCATTGCTTAAGTGAGACCGTTGATTTCGGCCCCGTTTTGCGACCTCTCCGAATCCCTATTCCAAGCACGTAAAGCCCAGCAGCTACCCGAACTCCCCGTCCCAAATGAGGTTGGCTGGAAGCCACCATCTGCTGCTGTTCATTATGGACGCTCGGTTGGCTTCCTCTCCCAGCCTGGGCAAATGCTCTTCCAGAGATGCCAGGAAGCGGGTGGCACCCGGAGGGCCGGTGTTGTAGATTCTGCCCCCGTGCTCCACTTTAGCTCCTGGGCCAGCCCACCAGCCAGCCCACCCGGCTTCCCAGGCGGCTCTTTCCTTGAGGCCTCCTGTCTCGGTTAAAAATAGGACCCCCAGGGGGGCTTCTAGCCTCAGTGGGCGGCCGGAAGAAGGCTGCCGGTCAGGAGCAACCTTGTCTGGCTGAAGGAAATCTAAGCCGGCATCTCATCAGGCCAGGATGGCGGGAAGGCGCTGCTGGTGGGCCAAGGTCTGGAGGTCCACAGGTCCCAGGCAGGAGGCGCAGCCCGGAGGTTGGAAAGAGAGAGGAAAGAGAGATGGGTGGACAGTTTGGACCTCAAGAGGGCCACAGAACGGATGGAGAGGTGAATGGAGGGATGGGTGGGTGGAGAGCAATAGCAGTCACCCTTAGACTTGTATACCGCTTGCTCAATCTCCCCCTCAGAATCAGACTCCAACAAGGGCAGGACAGTCAGCTCCATACAGGTTGTGCCGACATGTTTGCTCCTAATAAAAATCCTTCGAAGCTTCTGAAGCTTGGCTCAATGATTTAATGAGGGAAGCTGCCGGGATCCTGACGCTGTCCCTTGGCCAAGACCCTCCTTGTCTCCAGAGGACCCTCCCTCACCCTTGTCCTCTCCATCCTGCAGGGAGCGTGCTCACCATTTCCGGCCGCATGACCTTCACGAGCAACAAGTCCATGGAAATCGAGGTCTTTGTGGACGCCGACCGCTTTGTGGGGGAACCCCAGGACCCGTACCGGGCGGTCAGCGCCTTCTTCACCTACGTGTCCCTCAGCAAGGAGGGAAGACCCCTCCCCGTCCCGCAGCTGGCGGTAAGTCGGTTGTTGTGGGTCTTCGCGGGAACGGTTTCAAAGCCAACAACGTCTCTGGGGGTTTTGTTGAGTTTCCAGCTCGGTTCCCAGGGTCTGGTTTCCTCAAAATTGGGGAGGGGGCTGCAGGACCCTGAAGTTTCCTTCTACAAGCCAACCACTGCGTTCCTAAAAATCTGCCGAAATACCTGGGCCGTGGTTCAGCGAAACCAAAGTGCATAAAATATAAAATAATTTGGTTTTTCTGTGCGTGTGTGTGTGTGTAAAAAGGGAAGTGCCCCTCACGCATCATCACAAAAGCTCCAGAACCGTAAAGCCTACAAACTTGAAATTTGGCCCGTATGTTCCTCTTGGCTTCTAGGGGCTCCCTAAGAAGGGATTTTTCCAAATGACCATCAGAACATTTAGAGTATATTATTGTTGTTGTTGTTGTTGTTATTATTATTATTATTATTATTAACACGCTCTGATGCTAAGGAGTTCTACTCCCCCTCCCCACCTGGAAAGAAATCTCTTCCAAAGGCAAAACAAAAGCAGAGGAGAGGAGTTTCAGTTTCAGTTTTACTTTCTCAGGACCAAGCATCTTTAGTCCAGAACAGTTGAGCTAAGCCACACCCAGCTTCCTCAGTGCCTCCTCCTTGCTCACACAGCAAATACTCTTTCAGTTTCCAAACAGCCCCTCAATTCTCTCTCACACACTGACAGGACGCTAGCCAGGTGAATACCGATGGATGCTGGGAGGCAGAGGCAGAATTTTCTCCCCCTTATTTTCCTCCCCAAAAACTAAGCCCCACCACATAGTTTCGTAGTGAAGCATGGGGATCGAGCTAGTGTGTGTGTGTGTGTGTGTGTGTGTGTGAAATATTTTGGATATTTCCAGGGGATTTTACAGGTTTAAAAGAACAAGATTGTCTGAGTCTTCTCACCTGCCCTGAAACCACAGGGTTTTTCCCTTTTCAATGTTTTATTTAAACTATTAGTTTAAACGAACTGTTCTATTCAACTGAATTCATTTAAATTCCAAAAAATTAAAACACAGGCGGGTCCTCAACTTAACGACGGTTCATTGAATGACCGTTCACTTGTTGGGGGGCCGTGCTTTTTTTCCCCACACTTAACGACCGTCGAAGCCTCCCTGTGGGTCACCTGACCAAAACTGAGGCGCCCTTTGAACAGCAGCCGGGGCGGGAAAAGCTGTAAAACAGGGCAAAGTCTCTCTTAAGGAACCCGCCCCGCTTAAGCCGTGGGAATTTTCCGCCCCGTCCCAGCCGTAAGTCGAAGACGACCTGTACAAACTCCGAAAACAAAGCAAAAAAATTATACAAAGACAAAAACCAAAAAAATAAATAAATAA